AAAAAAATCGCGTTTGAAAAGCAGAAAAATAAAACAAAATTAAAACAAATGAAACAAAATTGAATATGTATTTATTCGGTTCTATTCGTGTACAGATTCGTGTACGAAAGCCTAATTGTATAGTATTATTACTGATATATTTGTATATTTAGATTTTTTCTTATCTCGTACAGAGATTAAAACTCACAAGCATTCATTTGAAGTTGAATCGCTTCGGACTCCTACTTAATTAATGTATTTTTTCAAATTTGAAAAACTTAATGATTATACACAATGTTTGTAATTTATTTACAGCCAAAGTAACTGAAATTTAAATGACTTTTCGAGCTGAATCATTTCGATCAAACTAATGTTTTTCGAATAAAAACACGAAACAAAACTGTAAAATGCAATCAAGAAAGGCAGTTTGAAATCAAACTAGTTTTCTATTGGATGAATTTTGAGTGCTAAAGTGATGAATCAACACAAATTCTTCAAATGTTATTTTGTTTTTCTTTTATTTTCTGTTGTTGTTCATGTTGCGCTCAACGGATGAAATGTGAGATTGTCACATTTCTACATGCAACTGACGATGCATCGTTGACGTCATTCATCGTGAATGCATAAAACGAACGATTGCAAAATGAAATTTCAAAGTTGAATCTGCAATCAAAGCAATGTATTTCGATTGGCCAATTATTGAAAATTGTTCAGTTATCTTCTTCTTAATTTCTCATTAAAATAATACAAAGTTCAAAAGCGCATCGACAAAAGAGTTTCAACCCGTTGTTTGATTTGTAAATGGGGGGGAAACTAATATTCTTATGCCTTGTTATTTCTGAACTGAACAAATAAGACCCCATTAAAAACAGAAACGATCAAAACACTTTTGTCATATCATTCATCCCATTCAATAGATGTGAAAAGAGACGACAATTGGTCTAGATATATATAGTGTTATTTTATCAATAAACAAACCTTCAAAGATGTTTACGTCGTTTGAAGAAAATAAAATAGATTGCATGAATTTCTGTGTAAATGTTTATGATCGAAGCGAATAGCTGAATGCCTTCGTTGTTTATATCGGTTTTTATTCATTTATTTGCATGTTTTTCACAAGTCTCGATATGTACATACGATCAATGATTATTATCATTATCGGTATTGCATGCTGAAAAGTGTTTTTCATCCAATCAATCTGCGTGCACACTGCCATTTGAATTAAACTATAATCACAATGGGTCGATTCAAAAAAGAAGGAAGAGATAGAAGGAGGAACGCAACACGATACATTTTCATGTCATTCAGTCACACTAACACACGAATAAAAAGTGGCTAATTTAATTTTCTAGGAACTGTTCATTGCGAATATTCGTTTATGACTTTCTTCTTTCACGATGCTGTTGTTTGTTTTTGAGCTTGCGCTTACTATCTCTGCCACCAGAGAGTTTGTTGTTTTTCCACCTGCCAAAAGGGAGAAGGAAATAAAATCAAGAAATAGAGGTTGATATTTATTAGGTTAATAGTACTGAACTGAAAGAGTAAAAACAGCACAAGATTCATACGAAATAGTCCCGATGAGGCATTTAATTTCATGTGAAAATGGTTCGTTTATGCGCCACTCTCATATATACATTATGTGCCTGTTTCTTATGAATTTCATTGAGAAATCCGTGCACAGCGAAACTTTTAAAATAAATCGCTGTGTTTTCGTGGTAAAATTATTATGATTGCATGTATATAATGACAAAGGCACATCGCGTCGCAATGTAAAATACCGAATAAAACAATGTGAAACAAAAAACCCCAGCTTGCAATTTTGCGAGGAATGTTTTGTGTTCAACAACATAGAATGGCGTATATACACATATTAATGAACTGAATGTTTGCCATTCAACGTCACCTAATAGTTGTTTCGAAGTTTGCGTGTCGGTAGCGTTTCATTTCCAGTTGAAAAAAAAAACAACTACAAAACAAAAACATCTCGGCAATTTCTATGGGTTTAAGTGGTTTATAGCGCGATTTTGAACAGCTTTGCAACAAATACATCGTATATTCACAATTGTGCAGTGGCATGCACGGGAATTTATCGATTTTTCATCCTGTGAATTTATATTTATATGATTCATATTTAATACATTGCTGCAATGGGGAGCCATTTCCGTTATGCAATTCATATTGGTTGACGGTGCTGCTGTTGTTGTTTATGAGGGAGAAGACTCAGGTGAAGGATGCACAAAACGAGTGTAACAGAAATTAATTGACATCATCTGTTTTGTTGTCAGTGATAGAGAAAACGATATGATACACTTGGTGCTAATGAAAAGGCCTAGTTTCACTCTATGCTATTTGGTATATATCTTTGCTATTGTCGCATACCCACATTCTACACGTTACAAATCTATTTTTAAAACGATCATGTATACGTGCACTTTAAAAGGGAATGTCATGTGAAAATCAACTTGCATGCCGAAGATACGATCTCCCTTTAGACGGGAATCATCGGAGCGAATCGAAAAATAGTGAAAAATAATAGAGACACTATGCCTCCTATTGATTAAACATATAGAATTGGCGATTCTGTCTACCGAAATGATTGAATTTGTGAAGAAACCGCACACCGCTCGTGGTCTCTCGCTCTCTCTCTCTCTCTGTGTGTGTGTTTTCATTTCTTCGCCATTTTCAATAACAAACGAAAGAGATGCGTCCTTGCTCTGATTTTTGTGTCGGTCTCAAATATAATGCTTTCTTGATTGTATTTAACGCGATGAAACTCAATTGTCAATTCGAATAGAGACGGGCATATGGCAAGTGACATCGGCTATTTGTATTGTTTATTCATAATAATTTGTATAGAACGATCGACTTGTCGCTAACGAACTATTTTTAAGCGAAAGTATTTTGACATGCACCCTTGCTAATTAATATTGGCTTAAGGTTTGCAAAACTCGTTCGATTCGAGGTATTTGAATATAGCATTCGGAAATACTTTGACTGTGGATTGATTGAATTGGGTTGCTTAACATTTGGATCTCTTTCAATTTCTACTTTGCTCCAATGCCATATTTTGTCAAATGAATGAATTGTTAATTGTTCTTATTCTTCTCGTTTCAGGTATGTATCGACGAAAATGTTGTTCATCAATTTGTAAGTATGGAAGTTTATATCCATTCGCGAAAGCTTAACCGGGAAAAGTGAGCGCGCAAAATGAGCTTTTTTGATGCCTTTTAAAATGCCATTTGGCATTGTTTTATTTTCCTCATTTTCGTTGTGTAGTTTTTCTGCCATTTGCAGACATGCAAGCAAGAAATTTTAATTCTATTTAAATCCGTGTTGTGTATACGACGGTCGTCGTTGATTTTTCATTCGATATTCAAACACACCACTGACTCAACGAAATGTAATCCTGCTTTTATTTTGTTTGGTTTTTTTTTTTTACATCGGATTTCATCGAGTTTGGCAAGTTGCCACATTCTGCAATGTGGTTCATTGTTTCTTTCATGGTTTTTTTTAATACTATTTTTTTTTTGTTTCTCGTCTAAATAAAAGAACATGGTCGAAGTGCTACGCTCTTTGTTGCTTAATTCCTTTTTCCATTTGCAAATTTCTCTTTTGAGTTTTTCGCCTTGCTCGCCGTTTTTCTTCGAAAGATTTTTGTTGTTGTTGTTGTTTTTGTTTGTGATAGGCCTAGGGGGAATTATCTATACGTTTATACGGTTTATACTCAAGTATTTTATACCGAATATACTATAAATAGATGAAGACATCGCAAGTATGCCGCATATACGCTGCATATATGCGTATAAACCATATATATACGGAGTTATTTGCAAATATTATTTGCAAATATTCTTCGGTATATACGGTTTATATTCTTATACGCAGCATATTCGTTTCTTATTTTATTCGATATTTTCCCCTAGTGATAGGCACAATGCACATACAACTCTAACAAGCACGAATAGCGTAAATATCACTACTCTTACAGTTCGATGGCCTTCTTTTTCTCGTTTTGTTTTTCCTCGTCGACACCATGTATAAAAAAACACAGAATGAAACACAATCACACACACACACCCACATCATCATATTTGGTAGATGTAAGACCAATGCAAATGATTGATCGATGTTCAACTTGATTTTCGATGTTTTTCAAATGTTTTGCACGTCGTTCCATTTTACCGCTGCACATTTTTGCAGGATTTTTGTCCCTTTGTATAGAAAAAACGAGAATAACAAATGTAAAATGGATTCAAATAGATGTACTTTTTCTGTCGATCCTCTTCAAAATGCATATGGATGGTTTTTATATAAGCCAGCCAGAGCATATACTAAGCATAGATATATATCCTGGATATTTTGTCAGTATCCGATATTCATTCGAGCCAGACTTTAAAATAGAGTGAAAACAATAGAAGTTATTGTTATAGTGATTGTAGTATATTTTTTATACTTAGACCTGTAACAATCACTTCTATTGTTTTCACTCTATTTTAAAGTCTGGCTCGAATGAATATCGGATACTGACAAAATATCCAGGATATATATCTATGCTTAGTATATGCTCTGAAGCCAGCAAAACTTTAATTTATCCTCGTTTTTTTATTGTTAAATACTTTGACACTGAGATGAATCGACTTTGAGATGAAACTTTAAATATCATGAACAATCAAAAGAAAAGGCTGAGTTTTTCGTGAAAATGACGAAACAAATAAGTTTTAAGCGTCTAGACTTTGCATAAATTCAGCTTAGAGTAACGGAAGACACAGTAAATTTACATGTGAAACTTTGGATTTAAAAAAATTGTAAGTTCCATCTCAAGAGTTGTTCATGAATGCCTGAATATTAGAGAGTCTATAATTGATTCATGAGTAAAAAGTAGAGTAGAACCCTTCGATGTATTCAAATTCCTCGTAAATTTCGTTTAAGTTATATTTTGTTCGATTTTCTTATAATTTTATTTCTATGATTTTTTTTCTATTTTTTATTTGTATTCTTTTTTCTCTCTTTTTAAAAATTAGCAGTAATTCGAATGAGATAGAATCTCAATTCTTTGTTCTACCGTTAAATGAAATCACATTAGAACCGAGAGAAAATGTTTATACAAATATGGTAATACAAAATCCATTAGAAATTCCCACAAATTTAGCAACAGTCACAAATGCAGCAAATGAATTGCCACCATACACTAATTATGTTGCACAAAGTATGGATTATAATATGTATCGATCAGGCTCTCAACCATTGCCATCATCATCGTATACAACACAATCGTTAACAACCCCAATAAAAGGTATCATTCCAAGATTGCAACGCGAAGAATCGGAATGTATTCCAATACCTGGTCGCGCACAAAGTCATGATGATATTCGTATGATAGGCAGTGGCAGCGGTTATAATTCACCGATTTCGAATTATTGCATTAGCCCGAATAGTCCACGCGGACAATATATGTATGGTTGTTCGCCGGTCGGAATGAACGCATCACCACCGATCAATTACAATAATTCGTATCTTTCGACAAGAGGTGGTCTCACCGTTGCACGTCGTGCACTCAGTCGAGCCACATCACCACTGTCAAGCAGTGTACCAAGCAACACCTACATCACCAATGCACAAAAATTCAGTTCCAGTTCAAACAACCGAAACATTGCTGCCAGTAGTAACAATTGCAGCAGGTCAGACCAAATAGTGTCCTTTTCCATACACACAAAACATACGCACACAAACAATCAATACGAAGATTGACCGTTATATTCTATATATTTATATTCTAATTGTGATTGTTGCAAAAGTTAAACTTAACTCTCTGCTATTCATCATTTGTTTATATCATCAACGTTCATTTTTACTCTTCTGTTTTTTTTTCAATTTACTTTTTATTTTAACTGACATTGAAGAGCATTTGTGCAAAGAACATTTAAACACACATTTTTAAAACAGTTTTGATCATATCGGTTGTGGTTATCATTATCTTTGAAGTTTGTCTTCCATTTCGAATCAGAGTTTCTGAAGCTTTTGGCAAAGAAAAAAATCGAAAAAATTGGCAAAAAACTCTAGAAAAAGACGTGCTAATCTCAAGACAATGAGTACGTCTTTAACTTGAAAACCCATAACGGTAATTTGAGACATCATACTTGTGGCTTCAAAAACTCTGAATTTGGTTTGTGGTTTATCGTTATTTTAAGTAAACTAATTGTAAATATTATATTTATAGCGCTATAATTTATGCTCGAAAGCATTCATTTTCAGATCGCAACTTTTATTTTCGCATCCATTCATTATCGTTCATTGAAATTTCTCTTTGAAGGATTTTATCACTGTTTTTTTTTTTTGCATATGAATACAAAAAGCACTAAATAATTTTTGTTGCATTTTTGAATGAGATGAAATCATAAACCAAGTAAGCCATAAAAATGCATTCAACCGTCCCTAATTACGACTATATTATGTTTGTTTCTTTAAGCTGGAGTGAGAAAACATGTTTTTAACTTCGTGCATCGAGATCTTTCTCCAAAAAAAAATTGCTCAGCTGTAAAATGTTTGCGCAAAAAAACCGTGCCTTTCCTTTTTTTTCGGTCGAACAAATAAAAAAGAATATGACATCACTTTTTGAGTATAGTTGCTAAATATGGCCGACCCATCAAAAGCACAATCACATAAAATGTTTTCGAAAACGTGTGCATACATACAGGCATGAGTGAACGAGGATACCAGTGTTTTTCGTTTTTTCTTCTCTCATCGTGTAGCGACTTTCGCACAAGCATATGTGTTCGAATGCATATACTAAAAATGGTGTTCTTTGTCTGGATATAAATCGTCGTCATCGTTCATTTTTAGATGTTACACTATAAAATCGTGCTTAAAGCGTGATCTGACTCGATACTCGCACAACAGGTCTACAATATGTGTAATATTTTTCTACAGGGAAAAGTAATCATAGCAGCAAAGAAGAGAAAAAAAAATTCATCATCAATTTATTCAAGCTCATCTATTCACTATACGTCATTATCAAAATGAGAAGCAAATAAATTAGAATATAAAAGTCTGCCATCCCGAATGGATGAAACAAAAAACCGGATTTACTTTGCACGATAAAAATTTACAGTACATACACGCGCGCTCGATTCGCGTCATTAATCAAAACAATTAGAGGTATACATATGTTCAGCTTGTTTGGTTTCACAATCTGGGCCTATGTGGATAGTAAATAGAATCTGACAGCAAACGCTGGAAAACAGATTGTAAATAGAAACCGAAACATTTTTTTTAAATGGACAAACTCGATTTTAATCAAGTTTTGAGTGATTTTCTTCTCTCTCTCTCTTTACATATTTTTCAATCGTTGCTTTCGCACACATATGCGAAAAATCATATTGATACAAATTTGATGATTGTTTGGAAACGTGCACGTGCACTAATACATTCTAATGTCAAAATAGAAAAATAGGATGTTTTTTGTTAGAATGTGCTACTGTTATCGTTGTTTACACATTCTTTTTTTCTTCTTTCAAATCGGTTTCCTTTGCACCGCAAGCAGAGCGAAGAAAAATAATATAGTTTGTGCGTTCTAAAAAACGCTAATCTTGATCTATGTAAAATCCAATCGAACAAAGTTCTTTTCGTTTCATATCAACATTCCCGTGCAAAAAAAAATCGTAAATTGGCTGTACATAACAGACACAAGTAAATTCCTTTGTTTATATACATTTATATACACATTCGTTTCTTTATGTGTTTTTTGATAAATCAATGGCAATGAAAATTTTCGGTTAACCGCACCACGCGAATCGTGTTTTTTTTAAGAATCCTTAAATTTGAGTGTTTCGGCTTATATACCTTCTTGACGATTCAGAGGATTCAAACGAAAAGCCGGCAATCTTAATTATCACATGACTTTGGCTTTTGTTATCACCATTTTTAGTGTTTGTTCCAGACAATATATTGAACTAACTGGTCAGTTGAGCTGACAGTACGTTAGCCAGCTAAATGGACTCAAACAATAGAAGTTATTTTTATAATGAACAATCACTTCTATTAAAACAAGAAAAGTGATTCATCATTAAAACAATAACGTCTATTGTTTTAGCCCATTTAGCTGGCTAACGTACTCTCAGCTTAACTGACCAGTTAATTCAATATATTGCCTGGTTTGTTCGACATATTAATTTATTGCGCACGCACACAGACTGATTTCGCATCAATATCAAGCTCTTGTCTTCTCTATGTGTCATTAGTTTAATCTGTGATGTTTATAGTTGTTTATGTGCACATACTTGTCGCAATCTAGTTGCGTGCTTATGGTACATTCGCTACGATATCTGAATATATCTATTTGAATGTACGTTAGCTTGTTTTGGCATTAAATTTCACATTCAATATATTATGTGGATGTACTCATTTCTCTTACATACGAACACATTTTTGTATGACTATTTCGTTTGATTATTACAGCTAGGTACAATGGTTCCATTTTGTTTACACCATTTTGAATAGAGTGTTTTGCATGTGATACGCATATCGCTCCTTTCTGTTATATATTGTAATTTGTTTTCGATTTCTGTGCGTCCTCTCTTTCTCTCTCTCTCTCTCTGTGAATTTTTTTGTGTTTCGTTATTTCGTCGCAAAAGCCTCAATTCGAAACTTCTTATGTACTCCCTTCTATATGTAGTACACAAAAAATGCCAATCTAGACTCGCATCACAATGAGTGAAATCATCACCAGACATAGCGATACATACATTCAGTATTTATTTTATTACACATTTTTATTTTATGTACATCGTTTTTTTATATATTTTTTATTCTGTATTTTTTTCTTTTTTCACATGCAATTTTTTTAAAAGGGCATGTTTTTTTCGATTGTCAATAAAAAATTTTCTCCTTCTGAAATGGGCATTTTGACGAGTTTTGTCGTATTTGCCTTTTAAGAAATTGCATGGATTTTGAGCTCTTTTCTTCTTCTCTCTTCTCCGTTGTTCACTCTCATTCAGCTGGCATTGTTATTTAATCACCGGAAAAGAAATATATATATGTGTGTCGATATAATTATACTGAAAATAAAAGAGGGTTATGTCGATCGTGTTTATTTTATCTTTTGTTCTGTATCTGGATAAGAACGAATATAACATGAAACACGCATGAAGAGCTAATATAAGTTTCAGCCAAGTTTACAGACTAAAATGATGGAATAGGAGAAACGGATGAGATGATGGCTGAAGTGGCAGACGACTTTATGATCAATTGAAAATGATTTATCGCATAGATTTTGTTTGTTCAGTTTGAAGATGATTCTTGATTTGCACTTGAAACACACATCATTTACATAATTCGCAAATTTTCTTTTATTTTGTTCTTTTTTCTATTTTTTACCATTTTCGCTTGTTTTTTTCGTTTTTCTTCTTTTTTCTAAAATTTATCTAAAATCTTACGTGTACATTTATCCGCATCATGCATTTGTCAGCAAGCAAAAGTTTATTATTTCCATGCGCTCTACTGTTTTTGATCATATATTTTAGATCAAGCATCTCTTGGTATTACCAAGTCATATATTTCAATCTGGTCTAGAAAAGTCACCTTTGATACCAATGAGTTCAAGCTACCAGATAAATCTTTCACATCAGTCGAGAGAAAAGGAACATACACATTGTTTGTCTTTATCTTGTTTGCATTTCAACGATTGTGAATGTATGATCGAATATTATCATGAATCATGTATTTTATATCATTTAGAAGTGACAAAAATAGAAATATAAACTTATATAGACTGCTTTGCCTTCTACTTTGTTGAAAAAGCTTCTTTGTTTGATGTTTTCTATCAACACACCACACATGCGACACACGAATCTTATAACTTTGTTTGTCGTTATCAATTTTTGTCATGATATAAAAAAAACACGTTGATTGTTCTCGTTTGCTGTAAATTACATTGAACTTTCTTCCATCTGATTGTAATCTGTAATTTTGTACATATAACTTATTTCGGAATTCAATTTCGAGTAACATTAAAATAAGATATTTTCACATGACAAGTATGCTCTTTTATATCGAGGCATATTTTGCTAAATTTGACGCACATTTATGAATAAAAAAAAAATATATCGGCCGAATGTTGAATCATGAATTTAATCCATTTTTTTCGTTTTTATTTTTTTCATTGCAGGTATGTATGCTTTGTTCCTTCATTTGCCAAGTATTAATGTATGCAACTATTTTGACACTCGACATTGTGTTGATATTATGGATAACTGAGCTTGATACAATGACGAAAAGGTGGTAAGTAGAATGATAAAGTAGTCTTTTTTTTTCGTTCGCAATGAAAAGGTGTTAAAATTCTCCATTAATTGGCGACAATTAAATTGTCGGGGAAAAATCGCATATTGAATCGTCGATTTGACATTTTTACCTTGTGATGCGAAACAAAAGGAAATGTAGAATAAACGGAAAAAACCCACATTCAAACGAAACGCATTGAAATAAAAAAAGGACAGATAATTGCATATTTACAATGACGAACCGCTTTCAATCATATAGTCAATCGAATGAAATGGCATTCATTGCCTTTTATCATAATTACATCTGCCGTGTGGCACATATTTATTTAGCTCTCGGCCTTACGTCATAACCATTATACCAACAGTTGAAAATAAAACCCGAATTGCAGAAACGACTTTCTTTC